ATTGAGCGTGAACCCTGCCCATTCTTCCGGCGTCATGTTTAATTGCTCTGGCCCAGAGCCCTATATCGGGAAAGTTTGGCCAGTTTACGATTTCGCCGCCGTAACACCTTTCTCCCGAGTGAGCCAAGCGGCCCGCGGCGCAGAGCCAGAGGCACGAGCGCATAAACTCCCAGCTGCTGCCTGCCGGGTGGGGAAGGCCGCCATTTTCATTCATTTGCCTGGTAAAATGCGCAGGATCGACATCTAAATTTCGCAAGCTCTGGCAAGAAAATGACATAGTGTTATTTTTCGATGCGTTAAAAAGCTTAAGGAATGCAGTTCCTCAATATTAGGGCACAGACTTTTATACGGGCAAAAAAAAAAAAGTCGGCCCGTAGCAGACGACATATAGCCTCAACAGTGCTTCTGCACCGAAAGCGCGCTCCGTCAAAATGGCGCTCATTTCCTCTTTGCTTCCTCCGTCGGCACTCTCCTCCCTTTTTTTCTCTCCGGTGCCTTCGTTGCCACACTAGTCAGACTCTCCCAATATATGGCTCTGCTCTGGCTATGGTTGTGAATAACTAAATTTGCGGCTCCGCTTGCTGTGGGCCCTTGACAGAACTCTCTCTATGCACGCCACTGGGGCTCCGCTCGTTCCTGCCATTCATCTCGTAAACTGACCTTATCGATTCCCACCAAGCTCGAGTGCACTCCGAAGGAGCGCCAGAAGCTCTAGAGAAAAGTAGAAAGTAAGCGGGGATTTTTTTACGTATCCAAGAACAATCCCCTTTTCAGGTTTTTATCTCCCAGTATGATTTGGGTGGGAGTTTCTCCAGAGGAATACAAGTGCCCCATCTCAAGAGAGTGTGGTTGCCTCGACCGTGTATGTGCCTCCGGAACACTGCCTCGCAGCGTGAAGTGGTTAAGCAAGCAACAGTCGCTCGTTCTTTGAAACGGTATATTTTTGCAGCCTGCTCTCGGGCCAGAAGTGCCTTTGGACGGTACATCCCTGGCACAAACAAATCTAAGCAATTCTCTCATGTAAACCATTAATAGGAGCTTCGGAATAAAAAACAGATAGTGAGTGACGTATAATGAATGCATACAGTGGCTTCAGGATGCAGTGCAATGCTCGTTGACTGTCGCGCTGAGACTTTAAATAAAAGACCCGCATGGAGTGAAATGAACACGAGCTTTGCCTGAATGAGTGCGAGTATGGAAGAATGAGAAATGGTGATTTTCCTCGAGGCAGTAAATCTTTGGCAGGAACTGTATGAACCATGAACGGCTGTTAAGACAGACGGTGAGTCGTCGGGTCGAAGGAGACGTGATCAACGTCTACAACGTCCAATTCATCCAATGCGACAGCCGTAAAGAGTGTGGCGACGCGTATTTGTCGAGACTGCCCACGCTTTTTAAAAATGGCAATACCGAAACAGAAGACAGATGGTTCTATAAAAAAAAAAAAAATGAGAGCTACCTGGAGCTTACACTGCCACATTTGCACAAGGTGAACTCCACGCAAGGTTCAATGCTTCACCTCGGAAGTTCACTTCGGTGCTGGCACAGGCACGAGAGCGCAGCTCTGCAGATTCCTACGCCTGTTTGAGCATTCTCGCGTAGGAAAGTGCTTTTGAAGACCACACACTCGTGCCTGTACCTTTACCAGCACCGGAGTCAACTCTCGAGACACAATATGCACGGTCTTTTGGAAACTCCAGTGAAAAGTTTCCCCGAAGTCCTTTTGTGGCTCAGTGTTCTGGCCACCAGGTGCCGCAAGCATGTGGGGTCATAACAAATGAACGGCCGTAGGCATCTTGCACATTTGTTCGTCGCGAAACCAAAGATCACCAGGAGTTTTGGCCACTCGACGGAGGCAACGCAAAGCCACCGGGACCAGTGGCGGCGGGGCTGGGTGGCGCAGCCGGGCGCAGACCAGAAAGGCACGGCGGTCCTACACTGGGGTCCCGAGGGCCGGGAAGGCACGGAGGCGGGGCTAGAGGGAGGAGGCAGCCAGGGTGCTGGCAACCAAGTCCCCGTTAGGCAGCGGCGAGGGGCGTGTCTTCAGCAGGGCCACCAGCTCTTGGGTGCACTTGAGCCGGTCCCTGTCCAGCGCCAGCCGCTCTCTGTCCAGTGCCAGGCGGCGCTCCTCCAGAGCCACCAGGCGGGCGCATAGCCCGGCCTCGTCCAGCCGGGCCCGCTTAGGGGCCTCGGCGTCCGTCTGCGTGTGCACCGACTGCGAGACGCGCACGAGCTGAAGCTCGGACTCGTCCGAATCTGCCGGCAGGGCACGCTTGACCGGCGTGATGGACACTTCGCGGTTGCTCAGGGCCACTATGGTCAGGCTGCTCGGCGCCGCCGGGGGTGCCGCCGCCGCCGCCGGCGCCTGGACGCCCTGTTCCTGGTGCAGGAAGCTGTTGGCTGGGATCGAGCACACGCTGGCCGGGATGATCTGCAGCTGCGGGGTCGGGGTCCGCTCGGCGCCCATGAGCCGGAGTGCGGTCAGCTCGTACGGCTTGAAAGGGCTCGAGCGCTTGGGCAGCTTTACCTCGGCCACGATGTTGGACCACTTGCGGCGCACGTCGTCCGCGCTGCGCGACATCTTCCTGGCGAGCTCGTCCCAGCAGGCGCGCTTGGCGCCGCTCTCGCCGGCCGACAGGAGCAGCGCCGCCTTGTCGGCCACCAACTCGACCAAGCGGTCCACCTCCGACGCCGAGTAGGGCGCCGAACGGCCCTCAGTGCCGCCCCACTGGGTTCCCACGGCACCGGGGGCCCGGCGCGGGGTGGTGCGCAGGCGCGCCAGCCCGGGCTTCGAGCTTTCCATGGTGCTTCGAGCGCCCGAGTAGCGTCCACGCACCAGCGTCCGTCGGCAAGCGTCACTCCACGGACCGCGGACTCACCGCCGCCGCTGCTGTCCGGAACGCGGGAGGCGCGCGCTCCTTCCAAAACAGTCTCGCCATCGGTTCACCAGGGCTCAAGGTGCCAAAGGGGTCGCGGAGGGGTCCAAGCACACTGACAAAGAGGTGACGGCTCCAGAAAACAATCCGAAGCGCGAAATCGCGCTGCACTCACCAAAAAAGAAACGCGTTTTCTCAGACCAGCAATGGATCGAACCTGACGAACCTCTATTGTATCTATGCAAAACGAGATTCGAGGCTCATTATGGAGTTCGTAAAGTTTCGGAAGCTCGACCGAACCTGAGGTTCGCTAGGTTGAAGTCGAACTTATCGAACTTGGAAATGCAACCCCGGTGCGAGCACGACTGGCCGGCGAAGTGCGATAAGTTCGACCAGAGTACGGCCGTACGGCTCGGAGTTCGACCACATTCTACCAATTCTACCTCGTTGAGTTCGACAAAGTTTAGGTGGAAAGACGAATCTAATAGCGACACCCTTTATATTGAGCGGTAGCTTGCGCCACCTAGCCTAGAAACGAAAAGTATGGCCTCCGAGATCCCGAAGTAAGGTGGCCGCGCGCGGGAAAAGACGACGAAGTGCTTTGAGCAAGGAACACGACATTTTGCTCTCTCGGTATCTTTTACGTTTGAAACCTGTGTACTCGTATCCTGACCTGGCAGTTTTGTTTCGGCAAGTGGAACTGGGCTTGTCTCTTACTACCAAACGCCTCTGCACGTAAGGGACCACGTCTTCATCTGAGAAAGTAGCGAACATAGGTGACCATTCATCTTCTGATGTCACTCCTGGGCAACGCCCAACTGTAAACCCCATGGAAGACAGCCTTGCTGCCACTCCAAACGCCTCACCCGAATTTTCTAACTTAGAACATTCCGACATGGAGCAGGACAACGACTCTGGAGGACAATGGTGCATCTCTGGAAATCGGAAACGTGTTCGAAGTGATGACTCTCTCCGATTCTGGCACAACACGTGTGCCAAACAACGTCTCCAACAGTCTCACTGTCGTATATGCCCCGACTGACTCAGAGAAGAAATTCACTTCCCTTAGCAGTCTCAAGGTCACACAGGCTCTCGAGAAAATAAGTCCAGAATGCATTCTTCAAGTGCGCTACAATCAACGACTCAACCTTATTGCAGTTCACGTCCGAAACGGACATGCAGCACAAGTGCTGATGAGCAATACACTACTATGCGGTATCCAAGTTCGACCATAATCTCCGTTGTCAGGCAAAACAAGCGTCGGAGTAATTCACGACGTTGATGCGGATGTCACCGATGAAGAACTGGCACAACACCTACGATCAGAAGCCAAGATTGCCAATGTGCGACGACTTGGAAAATCTCGAGTCGTCAAAGTCGTCTTCAGCGGCAGCCACCTTCCGAGCCATGTCTTACTAGGATATGTGCGACACTCTGTTGTCCCATTCAAAGAGAAGCCCATACAATGCCACAACTGCGGCGGTTTCGGACACAAAAAATCGCCTGCAAACGCGCCCAAGCTTGCAATCGATGTGCCGAGAACCACGTTCTGACAGCTGAGGGATGCACGTCCAGTTCAGTGAAATGCATAAATTGCAGCGGCAATCATGAGGCTACATCGCACATATGCCCGAAGTGGAAGGAAGCACAGTCTGTAGCTACATATTCAAAAATGAATACCGTAGGGTTTCGTGAAGCAAGATCCGCCATCTTCCGTCAAAAAACGACCAGGGACACCACCGAGGGCACCAGAAGAGCATAGTCAAAGTCAGAAGAAACTGGTAAGGACACTTAAGGTGTATTCACACGTCGGACAAATTTCGGGAACCATGTCCGCGGACCTGTGAAATATGCGTATCACGTGGCTTCGATGTCACAACGGACTAGGCCGCGGACATACGAATTAATACTGCATGGTTGCCGTGGACCAAGGCGAGAACTGCGAGTCCGAGCTCGTACCTTTCTCGCTGCCTTCGCTGCACGAGATATCTGTTCAGGACTGGTATTTCCCAACGCTCCCACCTCGCGCCAGAGCCTTGGTGGTGCTTCGCTGCGTTCCAAGCTACAAGAAAACGGCCACGCAACGCACGTGACGGTCGATTCCAATCCCGCCAGCGTCTGATATACCTGGCATTGAGGACGACAACGATGAAGGATCTCAGCGATGAAGCGACGCTGTGTTTAATCGCACTCGTAGAAGAGTTTCCACAGCTTTGGTGCCTTCAAAACGACCAGTACCGCAACAACGGCATAAAATCAGAGCTCTGGAAACAAATTGACAATGAAATGCAACGGCGCTACTCCCAGTATGGGCCTTACACGGAAGGTGGGTTCATTGAAGGCGGACTAATTAGTGTCGACCCCGAGTTGTATTTGACCGCTTATTGTTGTCTGATATTTCAGAGGGAGTGAGGAGCTTTTTTCAAGATAAGCGACGCATCTACAGCCGGGAGAAGGAAAAGATCATGAAAACGAAGAGCGGCCAAGCTGCGGAGTACACGTACAACGGTAGATGGAGGTTCTACCGCAGTCTCCTGTTCTTGGATCGGAGCAAACCTGTCCTTTCCCGGGAGTGCAACGAATCTTACCAACACAATGATCCCAGTGGAGTGAGCAACGTTTGGCGGGTTGACCCATTCGTTTAACTTAATTTTTTAGACCTATCGAACGAAACGTTGTCGAGCGTTCGTTGATGGAGGTCACTGAATCCTATTAGCTTGGCTGACGTTCGAGTTCTGGCTTTGCTCTACACGCTTCAGCATTTTTTTTTTTCGTTCAGGCTTCAGCATTTTGTTTCGTTCACTCGTGTTAATCACGGTTTCTTGAAGTGTTGATAGTCTCTGGATGAAGCTGCGAGACACTATCCTAGGCTTTGACAACCGGCGGCCCGCGGGCCGGGTCCTGGCCGCAAGGCAGTTTCATTCAAATGTCAGGGCCACGCAACAGTTTTGACCTTAAATGCAGTGTACAGGGTCCTTCATTGAGTAAACTTTTTTTTATTCAATTTTGCAAGTGAAACGGCCAACCGCCGGTGAGCCTTCGATGGGTCCGACCTGCTGCGTCTATATAAAAAACAACTCTCGCTTCTCCCACAATACTACGGTGGTGACATCTACGCTTGTTCACGTAACCCATCGACGCGTCCTCTCTTCACTACTAAAACTATCTCTCTCTCTCTCTTTATCTATCCCTCATTGCTCTGAACAGTAAATGGCCGACACTTGCGATATTCTGTACATATAGTTCCTCTAGAGTAACGCATTCGTATTTCTTTTACCTTTCCAGATGGACAGTGAGACAGAATTGGCGTCTGTTATGACCGAGATGAGGGAACCCGTCCTTGGCACGCATTCCACACACACACCGCGCGGAACAACGAGTTCCAGTGTGGAAGCGTCTGGCACTCCTGTGAAGCGCTGAAAGTGCGATGACGGAAAAAAGAAAGCAGATGACTGCTCCAGCTCTGGGTGGAAAGAGCGCACGGTTGCTTTCACTAAAATTTCCGAAAGTTTTGAAACTGAAAAAAGTGGCGACGATGCTGATAATTTTGGAAGAGTTGTGGCGGGCCACATGAGAAGCCTGAACGGAACCAATTTTATTGGGTGTCAGGTAGAGGTACTAGAACTCGTCAAGCGTTACCTAGACCGACAGCAAGAACAAACGTAATTCAACGAACCCTATTTAAACTAAAAAAATGTTAAACCAAAATTAGCATTTCGCGCTCAAAAGTGAAGGGAATACTTGAAAACAAACAAATGCTCGTATCCTTTGCCTGTCGTACTTATTCCATTAGGACCTGGCGGCTGTTTTTGTTGGAGTGGGTGAGTGTGTTAGATTGCCAACCAATATTATAGCATGACGAAATAAAAAATAAGAAAACATTGAAGATTCTTTCAAGTTTATTGACATAAAGTTGAACAATTAGAGCATACCACAAAAAGTTTTGGTGGTCAGAGTGCCAGCACATGCATGAACGATTGTTAAGTAAAGGAAGTCGCAATATACAGCTCATGAAATGGTATCTTTGCTTCTGCTCTTGTCTGAACATACAGATAAGGTTAAATTTTGTTATTTATCTGCAGATTAAAGGGGCGGTGCAACGATATTCAATTGGGCGGTAGCAGTGCCGCTCAGTGACGATATTTGAATACGGCTTATAGATTGGACACGAGCATGGCGTGGACACTCGATTTGAGCTCGTGTTAATCGATAGCTCGAGAAACATTCGGGTAGTGTCCTGTGTCCAATCGCTGCAATGACGACAACAGCCGAACCATAACAATGTCTGGAACTCAGCGCGTGTCCTGTGCCTTGCCAACCTCAGCGCGTATATGATCAACATTGGCGGCATATAATCGGCTCCAGATCACGGGGCAGCTTGTTCTGGCTGTGAGTTGAGGGGGTGAACTCTGCTCGTTTGTCTTTATTTTTTTCTGCGACTTCGATTGCGTGTGGTGAAAACGAACGGGTATTTCACAGATAATTAACGTCAGGGATTCGTTCTAAGCGGTATTTGCGCAAAATGCAAATATCAGTGCATCGCCCCTTTAAGGCCCGCCTCTTCCCTCTGCCACGCGATGGCGCCTTCTAGAGCTCTTGCCCCGGAGCGCCCTTTGTAACTTCGTAGCCCGCAGTAGATTGTCCTTTTTCGCTGGTGGTCCTCCCTCGACGCTTTAAAGGGATACGGAATCGAAACTTGAAATATAGAGAAAACATCAAGAAATGAGTTCAATATGATCAGCTAAGCCTGTAATGAATAATCGCACGGTCGTATTTTGAGCAGATGGCTATATTTTATGCTCTAAATGCCGCGATTTTGGCGAGCGCTTCAAAATCAGCCATGGAGGAGCGCAATGCATCTCGGGAGATCCGGCAGACGTCTTGACGTCATCATGCCTCGGACGACCAAGCGTACCGTAGTGACGAGTTTTGCCACTTGGAGGCGTCAACGCGTTACAATCTCGCTTTGTCGAAGTACCCAAGGGCTGTAGATATCGCGGGGCCAGCACGCGCACCAAACCTGAGAACAACCGAAGCACGCGTTTGCACGTCGCGCGAGAGCTGAAACCAAGGTGGCTCACTTCGTTTTGGCTCTTTCCACCAAGACGCCTCGGTATTGCGTTCAGGCCTAGGCAATCTATACCAGTGAGCGGGCATACCGCTGCGGCGCTGCTTTCAGAGGCATGTTGTCGTCACGACATTCCATTGAAGCTTCATAACCAACTACCAGGTGGTTTTTGATTATCGTTTAATTCACTTTAAAATATGTTTTCTGGCGTTTTCTAGCGCAATATTTATGTTTCTGTGGTTGTGCTGCTACCTGCGTCGTGTTGAAACAAAGAAATGAGCTCCAGAATTTGGTTTCCGTACCCCTTTAAAAAGCACAGGTGCAGCTCGCAAATAGTTGTGCAGCACACACGCCGCCTTGATGAATGAGGTGACCCTTCCTGGTTCGGCATCGATAGTCGTGTGCAAAAACCTAAAACGGTTTGCCAGAATGCATTTTCTGCTACCCGTCTGGCTCGGCTTAATCTAAAAAAAAAATAAAAAAAAATAATAAGAAAAAACGATAAGGAAAACGGTGTTTAGAAATGACACGATGTAGGCAACACACCTGTAGTTAAATATAACCTTTTCTTCGTCCAAATTTGTACCAGTGTACGGCTTCATTAAGTTTGTAGACAAGGGGAAGGCGTCGTCTCCCACGATGACGGGTGGGACGCCGACCGGTCCAGGTCCTGAGATCGGCAGACCGGCTGTTCCGTTCTCGATGGCATTCCGCAGTGGTGTCGTCCTCCAAATGCCTCCATCTCCATCAGACCCAGGTGCGCCAACATCAATGCACAAAAACCTGCTGTCTGCGTCCACAAGAGCAAAAAGCACGATACTGAAGGTCTTCTTGTAATTAATATACACAGATCCAGAGTTTGGAGGTTTGATAATTGTGACATGTTTTCCGTCCAGCGCTCCAATACATTGCGGAAACTGCCATCTTTCGTAAAAGTTCTTCATTACCGCAAGCCACTCATCTTTCGTCCACGGGGACACCAGATATTTTGGTCCCAGCATTTTGTAAATGGTGTCACAAGTTTCAACTTTCAACTGCCTGCTTAGGGAATGTTGACTCTCGCCTGAAAATTCGCAAGAAAACAAGAAACACGGCTAAGTCTAGCGCAGCTCTCAAATACGCTAAAACAAGGACAAAAGTAAGAAGAATAACCACACACCTGAGGCAAGAAACCGCAGCGTCAGTTGAAGTTTGTCTTTGGTTGGGATGGCTGGACGCATTTCAGTGTCGAGTTTTTGGATGCATGATGCAATTGACGAGAGAATGTCAGCAAACTGGTTGGAGTCAACGCGCAGCAAGCGGCGGTACTCTACGGGGTCGCTCTCCAGAAGTTCTTGATAGAGTAGATTCTGTATACCGAGTTTCTTCTTGGACATCCATGTTTTAATCCATGGTTTTTTTTTGCGTCGATATTAGGTGCTTCCGCAACTTCCTCATCCGCCATCATGAAAGCACACGCCACAACAACTCGTGAAGCCTTGTTGGCCTCCATGTTCGAATTAAAAACAATTTCCAGTCGTTTTCTTTCTTTTTCTTTTCGGCTCCTCTTTTCACTATGCGCAGGAATCCACGAGCATCTTCCACAGCTGTAGCTCGTGCGTACTAATCGTACAGGAAAATGAGCAAAGGTCCATCCGTGCACGAGAACCGTGAGAGGCATATAAAAAAAAGAAAAAAGAAAAAGAAAACCGCTCGTGCAACGAAGTGTACCACGAGCACTTCCACACAATCGGTTCCCGGGCTTGTCCGAGGACCACAGCGGACTCGAAAAAAGGCAGAATTGGATCGCTTTCAAAACCGCTATAATCATGGTCCGGCAGGTCCGCGGACATATTCTGTGACGTTCGCCCACGTGATACGCAAGATATATCAGGACCGAGGAGACGTTCCTCAGGTACGCGTGGACATGTCCCTTGGTTTTGCCTGCTGTTTTCGCAAGAAGAATGGCCGATTTTATACCCCGGAAAAGGTGACGTCACGCCTATCGTAGGAACTTGTCCGCGGACAAAGTCCTGCTTGTGAATACACCTTTATGCTTCAGCGCTCAAAAGAACTGGCCAAAACGTCAAAGGAAAGATGAACACCAATCCCACAATCAGTCAGATCTTGACGCAAGGTTCGTCAAAAAAATCTATACATCAGCCATCACCCAACACGGGACCTTTGACACGCCCCTGTGCCACAAAAGACCAAGTTGAAAAAGAAGACAAAGCTAGCAACCAAGGTACACAGGAAAGTGAAGCTCCTGGATGGATATCAATAATAAAGGCAGGTGCTAGTATAGCACTTGCAGTTTTGGCGAAAATTGAAGCCTCCTGGGCGGGTACCCTTGCATCCATTATCCAGACAATGCTTCACCTTCTAGCAGGCTGTCAGTAGGATCACTTAGCACAAGTGCGCATCGTTACCAACGAAGAGAAGCCTCTAGTTGTGGAACTTCAAGCGAATTCCAACACTGCGGCACAGCACGGCACAGGCGTAGTCCATTGTTTCCTTCGCTGCTTCAATGGAATGTAAACGGACTGCGCACTCGACTTTTTGAACTGCGGCAATTCCTCACAGATAAGAAAATTGATGTCCTGGCCCTTCAGCAAACGAATGTCATGCCTGGAGAGGTACGCTTATCACCTTACGTGTTATATCATAGCGCGGCTATAAACCCTAATGGAAGATCAAGAGTCTCTATACTTGTGCGAGATGATACATCACTCTGAGCTTGACCTTTCGGACCTCTGTTCACCATCTGAAGAGTATGCTGGAGTGACGATCAGAATGGGAAAGACTGAAACGACAATTGTATCAGCGTACGTCACGTTACAAGGCCTCTGGGACACAAAGCCACTTGAAAAAATAAGTAACAGAAGCCGAGGAAACTTAATTATTTGTGGAGACTTCAATGCTCACAATGAAATATGGGGTGGCACTCGCACGGATACGCGAGGACGTCAGATAGAGACAACGGCAGCAGCTTTTAATCTCCGAGCTCTCAACGACGGATCGGCTACATTCTGCCGACGGCACACAAAGGCGAGCACCCTGGACATAACGCTGGTCTCGGCAGAAATCGACGCTCTCTGGACTGTGGAGCCGGACACGGGCGGAAGTGACCATTTTCCAATCAACGTGATACATCCCAGAGCGGCTCCGAAGACCATCAAGGAGTGCAAGGTGGTTAACTGGGACCTTTTTCGTCAATACTTCACTTCCGCCGCAGATAGTAAAAGCTATACAGACACCACGACTTGCATTGCGGTGTGTTTGCAACGCGCAACCCGCATTGTTAAAGGGCACCTCCGCCGTAATTTTTATAGTCACCGATTTCTATAAAATTTTCACCATGTATTTGGATGCCCTTCCTGAGCATGTGTACGAAATATCTCAGAAAAATATTAATTTTCTTAGAAGAAAATGAATTTTGAAATTTACACGTCCACACCCAAATCACTTGCTGCCGCCCTACTGGCAACACTGACGAAGAGCGGCACACGGAGGCTGCCATGATGGCACTGACGTTGCCGTGACGTCACATGTTGGTCAGGGTGCTTGCTTTGGAGCTTGTTGGTGCTAGGACTGTCTGGTTTTTGCTTATTTTATCGGTTTATACAGTTATGTAAGAGCGCGTAATGGCGACTGGAGGGAATTGGTGTTGCGCCGTAGGGTGTAATAACACCACAAAGAAACGCAGCAATGACATCTTCCGTCCCCGCGCTCTTCCGTCCCCGCGC